CCATTCGCCTGTCCACCCCATCACCCCCGCTCTGCCCACCCACCCATCCATCATCCGTCCACCCATCCACTCCTCCATTTGCTCACCCATCCACCCACCTATTCACTCACCCACTCATCCATCCACCCACCCACCGCCCACCCAGCCATCCATCATCCGTCCATTCCCATGGCCCACTTCTCAGGCCCAGGCCCTGCCCGGAGGGGTTCTCATCTACCCCCCACTCCCAGGATAAGGAGACATTGTGGAGCTGAAGGCCTGGGCACATCAGCCCGACTCTCTGGACATCCGGGTCCCCTCCTCCTGGCCCTGTCCCCTAGGGTGGGACTGAAGCCGTGTGTCCGGGACACCACCAGGAGAAGCCAGCTCCGAGAGGTTCCGGGTCTCACGAAGAACAGGAAGCTCTGTTTTCTGGGGCAGCTGGCTGGCACAGGTCTTTGTCCTCCTGTGATTCTTGCACCAGTGGCTGCCCAATCTGGGCCATCCCCCCGGGGGGCAGTGGTACATCCACCCACCTTGAGAGTCAAGAAGCCAGGCCCGGGGTCCAAGTGCGGCTGGAGACCTTGATGTCCCAGACCTCCGTCTCCCCTGGTGGATGGGGTGGGGATTGCAGGGAGGTCCTGTCTGGCCTGAGGGGTCAGGAGAGGACGACAAGGATGTGACTGAAGACGGTTGGTCGGTGCTCAGGCGGGAAGTGTGGCCTGCAGGAGAGCGCAGTGTGTGGGCAGCCAGGATTGCAGGAGCCGGCTGGGTACCTGGCTCTGGGGACCTCAGCCACCCTGTGAGCCTGTGTGGCTCTGCCCCGAGACAGCACCTGGGCTGGGCTAAGTTGCATGGGTGGGCACCCAGGGCACTGAGGATGGCACTGCCTGGGCAGAGGCCTTTCCTGTGGCCTTCGTGCTCTGGGGCCCAAACGGTGCACCCCGGGAGCAGGGCGTGAGGGCGCAGGAAGGAGGGGCGCTGCAGCCAGCCGGGGACTCAGCCGCCCTGGGAGGCAGCGGGCAGGCCGCAGAGAGCTGAGCACTGCTCACAGTGCAGCAGCAAGGCTCCCACCCCTCACCTGGAAGCAGGTCTGTCCAGGCACGCGAAGCCTTCCGGCACCCTCAGTCTTAACTGCCAAGGACGGGCACCATCGAGATGTTGCTCAATAGGCCAGTGGCAGTGCCACCCTCACAGCGGGATACCGCAGGACCACACTCTGGTGGCCTGGGCTCCGGGAAGGAAGGCTGGGGAGGGGGCCAGGGACTCCTAGGGCACCTGGGCCAGGGGTGTCTGTTGCCACCCACTGCCTGAACTCACAGGACGTGACAGCGCATGAGCTCCGCCTCACGCATGGCGGGAGTCACAGTACTTAGAGCTTGGGGGCCGCGGCATGAGGGCGGACAGGTCAGCACCACCTGTGTCGGGGTGAGGAGGGAGCCCAGCTGCAGGGGGTGTGGAGAGCAGGGAGGCCGTGCAGGCGGCACGAAGGGACCTGCTTGGGCTGCTGCCCTGTCCCCAGATGTGGGCGGGCAGTTAGTCCCCGAGGCAGCCTGGGCCCAGTGGGGAGCAGTCGCCCCCCTGGCGTGGGGGTGGCAGGCCAGCGAGGAGAAGCAGGGACCCCACGTTCCTTGGGTCAGACTGGAGGAATGTGTGTGACGTGCGTCCACATGTGGATCAGCGCTCGGGCTCCACTGGGAGAGTCGGGAGTGCAGTATCCACTGTGGCCCTCCAGCCCGGGCCAGGGCTCCGCGGGCAGGTGGCTGAGCCCTGGACGGCAGCAGGACAGACACAAGAGCACCAGGGGCCGTCTGCAGGGCCGAGGAGTAAGAGTAGAGACACGTGAAGCCCAAAGCCCAAAGCCAAACCCAAACCACGAGGCTC